CACGCATTCTACTTCCATTTGTACATTCGTAGTGGCGTTTGAATGCGATGTGGCCTATACAATGGGGCCAGCCGATGTACAAGTCAGTGTTTTTATCCTCCCAGACAAGTCTGGTACCAATTAACCGACCCCGGAGGGATGGCTTGGTTGGCCCGGGCGACTCACGACCCAGGATTTGATCCCCGGACCGCTCGCGTGGTAAGCGTGCCACTTGCCACTACACCACTTCCGCCCATAAAGAACGATATGAAGAAAAAATAGGTAAGACTTCAAACAGAGTTTATACTGGTCGGCACGAAAAGAATGTATAGATATCGACACATGAACGAAACATACTGTTTTATTTGTGGCCACTGCCTGAGGTGCAGGAGGATCAGGTGCTCGACCCCCTTGCCGCGTTGCTAGCCTCCTCAGCAAAGGAGTCTCCTCCATCACTGGTGGCGGAATTGGAGTCCCATTATTCTCGCTCTGAAACGGCACTTAACCCTTTCAGCAAATCGAATGAGCTATTGAGAGACAAAACAAGGAGCAAAAAATATGTCACCTCTTCTTTTGGTGGTGTCGATGACTTGGACAGCGGCTGTGGCGCCAGATCGTTCGTTTTTTCGGATGAAATTGAAGAAGAAGATACGGCAGTGACCGGACGTTGCTCGCTGGCATTCGGCTTGCCGATCACGTTCTCGTCATCGTCGTCGCTTTCAAAGTCATCCTTACAAAGCGGTTTTTCAAATGGTTTATAGATCTAATCCAGCACCTACTTTCAAGTGGACATGACCAAGTTCAGTTTTTGAGTAGAGGTAGCAGGATGTGGGTCTACCTCCAAGCATCTACAACGAAATAGGCGCCCGATAATCGTGAAAGGAGCTAATACTTCGGGTGAAGGCAGGGCGCCGCATGAGAAAGGATCGAGTTGAGAGTTTTGTGTTGGAACAAGTTTTTCTAGACCCGCAAGCCGAATGATTGCAATACTGAAAGGTTAGGAAGGGTTTTGCTGGCATCGATCATCCTTTTCAAGAATCCGCCACGCACGTTTCTTATGCTCAAAAACAATCAATGAATAAGCCAGCGTTTTAATCTTCACAGAGGTTCGAAGTCGGGACCAATAATTAGACCCCGGAGTAATGGGAGCTGTGGTTGGCCTGTTCGGCGTGCAATCAGGATTCGATCTCCTGACCTTGCCCGGGGTGAACCTAAAGTCAATTCTCCTCATTTGCGCCGCTGACTAATTGCAGAACACAAATAACCATACATAAAACGGGAAACGTCGGAAAAAATGAAAGCTACCGTATAATCTTCGAAGTCGTCCTCATATGTCTCAGCAATTTGCACTACAGGTTCCGGTGTTGGTATCCTCTCTTCTTCCTCCTTTCTTTTTGACTGTTTCTCTTTTAACGGCGATTTAGTGCTCTGAATTTCGAAATCGAATGAATCGAAGGAAATGCAAGTAAGGTGAGGGGTACCTTCGGTTTTTTCAGTTCTGAATTGGATTTCACCTTTTCGCCATGGGTCTTCTTTGGTTTTGTCGCGTCCGGCTCTTTCCTGCAAGGTTTCATGAGTAGTTATGGCAAACATTTGTTACGGCTTGAATTGCGAGAGAATACTTACGTTTTCGACTTAGAGCGGTGCGTTTTCGAGGGGTCATTTGACACTGCCTGAGTTCTTTCGACAGATTTAGACCTGGCATTGGCACGGAATAAAATGGTACAAAATTTTACTGCAGAGCTCGAAAAAAATACATTGCTATACTTACTTTTTCTTTTTTGGTTCCGGAATTCCTGTTGGTTTGTCCTTACTGCGAGAATGACGTCTCTCTCTTGACATAGGTTACGAGTGGAACAAAAGGGAAACAGGAGAGCAGCAGTAAGCCAAGGTAATATTTCAGGCGTACTCATAGCTGCCTAGCAACCAGCAACGCATGCTTTGGACCAATTCAATTGCAGACTTCATGCTTCTTCACAGCCTGACCAGGAAAACTGTTCAGAACGTGGAGAGCTTTCTCTAAATGATTCTTTACTTGTTTTGAGGGAACATGCATGGGATTAGAGATGAGGCAATTTTTTTCTGAGCGGGCCTCACATTGCCAGAAAAGGAGCGGATTTCTCTTGAGAAGCGAAGTTCGAGCAATGTTGTCATAATGTTCAGCATTTAGACATACGTTTGCAACTTACACATTAAAATGTTTTATTCATTGGAAAAATTTAGGCGTTCATGAGTCCGAGAATATGCAGAAAAATGCCAAAAAAAATTCATGGGCCATTGTTTCACCCATTTTGGCATTCCTCAGGCCGCTCAGTCAAGTAAGCCTAACGTCTATTTCCTATGCAAATGCATTCCATGTTGAGAAAGTGCTTCATGATCTACATTCCTAGAAGAAAAAGAAAGAATCAAAGTTGGAAAAATACCAAAAATACCTGAACATTTCATAAAATATCACTAAGGCAGTAATTCATACGTGCGTACTGTTCTCCAAACCCCAAATGAATTGCAGCCTCAGTGATATTTCACAAGACTTTTCAGATTCCTTAAGAATCATTTTTCGGCACTAGTTTAATTCAGTGGTAAGCCTTTTACTAATTCAACAGCTCTATCGCATTTATGTCCAAATGAGGCTGATTCTAATGGAACAGGTGCAATTTTTGTGGAATATGTCTAATCAGAAATAAAAGGGTTCCAGTACTTTATTCACGGTACGAGGCTCATTTGAGTTTAGGTTTACAAATATTGGGCAGTTCGGAAAGTTTCCGCCGTTTTTATAGCTCACTTTTGAATGCTTATTTCTGGGTCACTTTCAAGAAACTGCTAACACTTTATATATCGTTAGAAAGCGCGTTCCTCGCTCTATCCAAATCTACTGTTTTTTTCCTGAATCACTTTCCACTTTTTTTGAAGTCTTGAATACAACATACTCAACAGCCTGCTTTGCACTAGTTTCTTGTTTCCCCTCAAACTTGCTCGGAAATGTGCGGAAGCAAGTTGCGATATCAACTGAGCATTTGGTTCGAGTCCACAAAAATACGCTGTGCAGTCGTAATTCGAAA